ACATTTATCAAGGCTGTGTCTATGCTTGTCACCAAGACAGAGAACTTTTATCCTAGTAATTTGCCATTGAACTCATCTGCGTAATTCATCTAAATAGTGACACCATGAGAACACAGTGTGAATTGTTGGTCCTTTCAGAGATGTACTACTGCCATTGAACTGCAGCTTGGTAGAGATTTGTCCATGATAAAACTCTGGCCCATTCTGGGAAAGGTTAATCTTCCCCTGAGTAAAGAAAGGCAAAGTTCCAAGCAAGAGGAGAGTAGAAATCATTTTAAGCATGGGGGGGGGATTGCTGAAGGAGGGGAGGAGGAGAAAGAAAAAGGGGAAACAGTGCTAATATCTAATAATTGAGTTGAATACTATCATAGGATCACACATTCAGTACTAGATAGGACCTTAGAAGCCACCCAGTAGAATTTCGTTTTGCAGTTAAGGAAAATGAGACCCAGGGACATTAAGTGTTGGCCCAAGGTCACACAAATAGAGAACAGAGCTGAGAGAATCGATTCATATGATCAAAGCTCTAGAGACAGAAGGGCACTCAGAATCCATTATAGTCCTACCTTATCTTTGAACAGGTGAGGAAACTTAGTCTCCTGAACAAAGAGTCAGTCCAAAGTGGGTAGATGCTATCAAAGTTTATGGACCCAAAATGGAAAGATTATGTCAGAGTTGACATTTTTTCAAACTCAAGCAGCTTCCCCCATTCTGAGCTCTCTTTATTCTAAGACCTTATATGTCCCACTTCCATGGTGGTAGCTACTTCCTGCTGACTGTGCTGCTCCCACAGGCACAGGTGAAGCTCATCCCAGAGTCAGAGTTGGAATGTGTCTATACTGTTCTACCTGAACAGAAGTGACATCTCCCAGAACTGTGCATGCCTTTGGTACAAAGGACAAACTGATGGGGTTTCCAGAAGGCTCACATATTTGGAGAGACTTATAATTCAGCCTTCTTTGTAGTTATCCAAAAAGGCTGTTTGGCCTTGAAACAAAACTGTGAATTAAGGGGGATATATTTGTTTTCGGTTTTACTCTTGGCAACCACATTCCCTTTCTCTCCCTCTATTCCCCTACAAGATACATGCCAACTGCTTGAATTCTTCCCCTCCCTTATCTCATACACAAGCCTCTAGCTTCTCTTTTCCTCATCTCCCTCCCTCAATTAAATATTACCATTCCAGTATCCCAAGTACTTAGTGATCTGTTGAACACCAGATTAGCTTATGTGATAAACTAATTTGAAGGATGACATTGGTCTCTTTTGGCTCTAAAGTTATCATCTTGTTTGTCCCTGATAATGGCTTATTGTGTAATCATTTTCTAGGGGATAGGAGGAGAGAGGACAGCTATTTTGTTTTACAGCTATGTTTCCCTTGGTTTATCCTTCCTTTCTTTCCTTTTTCTTTTTCTTTTTTTTAGGCTGCCAAGTCATACTTTTATATCTCAGATTTAGGAGATAGAATGGTTCAATCAGTTCACAGTTTTTGAAAAGCTGATATTATTGGCCTCCTAAACTTGATGCAAGGGCTTGAGCTGTAGGAAGTACTGAGCCCTGAGGAAACTTGCCTAGGGTAAGAAGAGAACAGAGATTTCATTTGAGGCTGAAGACTTTTTCCTTCCTGATTAAAGCCCCTGACTGTAAGTTGGATTGGGGAAGAAGTGCCAGGGATATCCTGGGTATTTATAGTTGTACTGAGTCTGACCTGTGTCCAGATTTTCCACAGTTATACTGTAGGTGCTATCTCTACCTAAGCCAAGTATTCACCTGTTTATCTATTATCTACTTGGTTTCCATTTGGCCTTTTAACAGACACCCAGATGATTTCCAGTCTTCCTACACCTACTATTGGGATCCCTAAGTCATCAGAAGAAGCTCAGATCCTCTTTACCTTGTTAGTTCGCAATGCATTTTTCCTAAAAATTTAGGAGTTGAAGGAACACAGCAATACCCAGAATTTCAGTTGTGTGAAGGAGGTGAACAAATGGTAAATATCATTTAAGGGGTCCATCACTGAAGCCTTTTGATGCCAATGCAGCATATGCAATCTTATAGGGTCTTAAAGACTGTGCCAGTGGAACACAAGTTCTGGCCAGTGTTACCTAGCTGGAAAGGCTGTTTTTACAGACTCAGCCAACAGGCAGTTTTGGAGTTCTGAGGACCAAAGTTCAGAGAAACTATTCACCAGCTTAACCACAGTGATGAATTTGTTGCCTCCAACTACTTACAAAGACCGTTTATTAAGTTGTAGAGGAGCTATGAGTTAGTAGAATGAGAGGAAACCCAGAAAAAAATTATACAACTTTGAGTGAATGAATAAATGAAAAAGTATTAAGTGCCTACTACATAACACTCACTGTGCTAGGTGTTCAGGTATCAAATACAAAAGTGAGGCAATTCTTCCTGCTCTCAAGGAGCTTGTACTCTAATTCTAGGATTCAACATACAGGGAAATAGTGGTCAGGGAAGAGTTTTTAATCTGAGAAGCAAAAAGAAAGGTGAGTGGAACCATAGACTCATCTATTTTAGTGCTCTTTCCAAAAGCAATGATAGTATTGATGTGATGGGAAGAAGAATGTGCCCAGTAGCTGGATAGAAGGCGAAGTGCCATGGTTGGATTAATGTGACTCATAATGTTGAGCTAGCCAGAGGTAGCGGGTTAGGTACATTTTTACTCACTCAGCAGTCAGATCAGCACAGTCCAAGGTCAGGGTTCCATAGCTGAATGAATTATCTCTCCCAAATGGGAAAGAAACTGTGTAATGATATGGAATTGGAAGATGCAGTGCTCTTCATGGGAAACAGCAAGTGGCCAAGTTTGACTGGCTCATAGAGCGTATGATGGGAAGAGTAATGCTTTATTACAACTAACCCAAGTCTGAAATAAGTCCAGAAAAGTAGTCTGAAAGATAATAGTGTAAAGAGCACTGACTTAGGAGCTGGGGACTTGGCTTCATCTCTTGTCTCTGTCACTTAAATGGAATAAGCAAGTCACTTAACATCTCTGGCCTTCATTGTAAAATGAATTTAAAATGAGTTTCCTCATCGGCAAGATGAGGGTGTTATACTTGATGGACTCTTAAGGTCGCTTCTACCACTAAGTCTATGATCCTATGAAAATTATTTGTGAAAGGCTTTAAATGTCAGAAAGAAAAGTTCATATTCATTGAAGCTTCTTGAGCAGAGAATGACTTAGTTAGATTTGTGCTTTAAGAAAATTATTTCAGATTTCCATGTGGTCAGTTTGAATTAACCATGGCAAAGGATTGCCAAAATGTGATCATTAGTATTGTTGAAAGTACTGTATTTGTTTTGTTTTGTTTTTTTCCATTTTGCAGCTAGGACGTTCATTCTGTGAATACACCTTTATTTTAATTTTCAATATACCATTAAATTTGCCGCAATCTATAGTGTGTAACACACTACATTAATTAAGCCCCAGGGATACAAAAGTGAAATGAGATGTAGCGTGTGTCTTCAGGGATCTAACAGTCTAATTCCTATTAGGATACGCTGTTAAAGTCATGCTTTAGGAAAAATACCAAAACAAAGATTATGTGAGCAACAGTGTGGACAGATACATTGGGGACAGGAAGATCATAGGAGTATTGGATCATAGATTTAGAGCTGAAAGGGATCCTTGGAGATTGTCAAGTCTTGTTTTTTTATAGATCAAAACTGGAACCCCAGAGAAGGTGAGTGACTTACCCAGAGTCATACAGCTAGTAACTATCTTAGGCAGGATTTGAACCCAACATCTTCCTGACTCTTAGACCAGCACTTTGTCCCCTATACCAAGCTGTCTCTGTGGTCAGAGCATTAATTACAGTAGCCCAATTGATTGGCAATGGGAACCTGAATTAGGATGGTTTCAATGAGAATGGAAAAGAAGCAGATAAAGAGATATTGTGGAGCTAAAATTCTTAGAACTTGACAACTTGTTAGATGTGGGGCTTGGAGCTTGAGAGAGGAGGAGGAATTGGAGATATCTATAAAGTTTTGACCCTGGATGCTTGGGGAACATCGCATGAGCCTTCAACATAAATGGGGAAGTTGGGGCGGGGGGTTAGGGCAGGGTGACAGGGACTGAGGGAGGATGGATTGAATTTGGGTTGCTGTCTTTCAGGAAACAGTGGAACATGTATCCAGAGGCAATAGATAGTTAAAAGCGTGGAACTGGGACTCCGGGAGGAGGTCAGGGATATAGATCAAATATTGGCATTATTTGGGTAGAGGTGTTCATTGAAGCTAAATTCCTCTCTTCTAATGACTCAAGAAGCATATTTTAAACACATTTCACTGTAGCAAAGTTAGATGAACAAGAGGCAACTTGATTTGACCTTTTGTTTGATAAAAAATGAGCCAATGCCGCTTTGTGGACAGCACCAATGGCATTATTGGCTTAATTTTATCCAATCTAATTCAACATACATTTGTTAAACATCTATTATGTACAGATCTTTCACAAAAGTGCCAAAGTATTTTTTGACAAAACATTTGGGTCACTTTGCGCTCATTATATAAAAAGTTGTGGGTTTGCATGAACTAGTGTGAAAATGTGCCATAAACACCCGCTTGCAGATTCTGTATCCCTGCTTTCCTCTATTTCATTGTCTTCTTAAAAAAAGCATTTCCTCATTTATTTTTTCCTTCAAACTAATCCATAAGTTGCTTTTATTCCTAAAGTTGGGCTTATTTATGCTGTGATGAGCTCTTGCTTCTAACCCGCATGTAGAACTTCAGTACACATTAAAATTATCAGGATATTTCTCTCTTCTTCCTTCCTCAAAGAGAGAAAGCACTCCTGGCTTCATGCTGCCTGTCATTCCAGCACTGCAGAAAGTCCAAAGACTGCATTTGGAATTGTTTAGTAGAGAGCCATCCCTGAAATAACTGTCTTGTGTGTTGTCAGAATTCCTAATTGTTGATTTTCTCTGCTGTGTGAATGCTCTACTCTTCTTTTTTCCCTCCATCCCCTAACTTCCCCTGTTTCACAGCAGACAAACCCAGGGAGTACTGAATGAATCGGATGATCCCGAGACAGGCTGTCTAATTGATAACAAGCCAACTTCTCGTCACTTCTATCCCGTCGCCTTGCTGCTTGTCAGCTCACACCTGCTGGTTGTGTGGCTCATTTTAAGTCTTGCTTTACTATTAGCCAAATATCAATAAGTTTCACTTTTCTGTTTCTTTTCTACAAATGGCAACAAACTTTAAATTGAGGAGGGGCGGGGGGATCCTGTGCTATTTCTACATTTTCAGATCCACAGAATTTAAAATACAAATGTTTGAATTGTACAGTGTTGGGTTTTTTGTTTGTTTGTTTTATTTTCTTAAAAATCTAAGAAGTACTATGCATTCAGTGAATTGTTAGCTCTTTTTGTTCCTGGAGAAAATTTTCCCATCGTTTATTAGCCCAAAAGGAAAAAAAAATAGCTAAATTAATGTCTTGTAAATAAGACAAAAAGCAGGATCCCGAAAGCTTGAAGATCCAAGCCTCCTTTTCCTCTTCCAATTAAATGAATTTGAAGAAACGGAAACTGATTTTGCACAACACAGTCAAACTCTGAAACAGGTCCTATTGATGTGGGAGTGGGTAGCATTAATTTTTGTTGTGCTACCTTCATCGTTGTCTTCAGCTGACTGGCCAGACCTTCTGTTTGATTTCCCCTGTTGGTGGGTCATGTCATTTCTTTGCTGCGACTAACCCTCTTCTGTCAAGTAACCCTAAGGAGACAAAACTGAGTTCTGTTTTTGTAATTGAATTTATCTGTTTGTAACTGTTGTTTCTGTTGATTTCTTTTCCTAGATACTTTTCTATTCTTTTTAACAAAGTCTTGCTTGTGTCTTGATGCACCATTTTCGGCATTTGTGACTTTTGTACTGTCTGTGAACAAGCCCCCTCCCTTTATAAAGCAGAGACTTGGATCAGGCCGTTTGGAAAGCCATGTTCACTTTTTTTCATTGCACAGCTTAACATACTGAAATCAAATGGAGATAAAACTTTCCTTTAGAAAATCTATTGGGCCAGACTTAATCAATGCCTTATTCCTAGAACCTGCATCTTTAGGGCTACATAGAGATTTTAATGTGTTTTTAAAAGTCTGAGAAATTAATTTGTGGGAAAAAAAAGATATATAAAAGGCAGATATATTTCTGAAACTAAAGTAAAGGTGTATTGTGGAGTTAATTATATTTAAAAAGTCTATTAAAACTTAAATATATGTTAAGGGCAAAGAATTTAATCATCTCTTTCTGAGGGCAATAATGGTATTGGGCCTGGCCTTGGATTTAATTTTGTAAGATGTATCATCACTTGTGGGGGAAAAACAAAGAAACAAAAAACAAAAATGTAGAGTTGAATCTTTGTTATTTTTACTTGGACTGTTGCTGCAACTCTGCATTGAACAAATAAAAAACATATTTATTTATTCTGTGTTTCATGAAGTTGTGCTTTTTCCCCTTTTACCAGAGAAGGATGCCGCATAGAGAATGTTCTGAAGAATATCAAATGCAGAAAATATGCATTCAACATGCTACAACTGATGGCTTTCCCCAAGTACTACAGACCACCTGAGGGGACATACGGAAAAGCTGACTCATAAGTTCCCCCAAATGTAAACAGGAACACAAATATGTCTCAACTGCATAATATACACTTTTTTTGATCATTAATGGGAGGAGGCATGTGCACAAATCTAGAAATTACTTGAATTAGTTATCAATACAATAAGTTTTAAGGTGAACTGAACTGTTGGCAATTATTCTGGGGATTAAGTGGGGAGGGGGGATGTCTTATATAGAATATTCTATTTCCAGTCCCTAAGTACAAGAACGTCCTGAAGTTCAAGGCATTAGTTTTGACCCACTGTTTAGTATTCATTCAGAAGGCCTCTACCTTGGAAACATGGTACTTAAATGAGAAATTTTCAAAAAAATTTGCTAATTTGAAACAAGAAACTCATTATGTCATCAAAAAATTCCTTAAGAGTCTTACTTCTGGTAAAAGGACTGACTATCTCATCCTGGGGTGCTATGAGACAGACGCTGCCCAAGCCCTCTGAGAAGTCCCTTCAGTCCCAAAGTGGGTGTATACGTATGGCTAATAAAACAGAAAACACTTCCACAGAAATGTTCTCTAGAAGGCAAACACTTGTTTCAAGCACTCCCTGCCACTGCCTGTGCATAGGTCAGAGCGTATGGCCCTCACACAGGAGCTAAGAGAAACAGTAACACTCGAAAGGGACATCTGAAATTGGACTTGGGACAGAGAGCTTCAGAGCAAATAGCAAGAAGAATGCTTTCAGGGGACATGGCCACCCCTCCAGGTCAAATCACCCTCTGTGCTTATGTACAACGAATGGCTACTTGCTAGAGGAGTAGTTAACCAAAAAAAACAAGAACAAAAAAACCCCCCCACAAAAACAAAACAAACAAAAAAACCATCTAGGGTTTGACTACGAAGGAGGAAAAAGGCTCTCCTGTAGCTTTCTTTTTTGCCTTATTTTTGGTGCTTCTTACATGCTAAACTCAGTTGTTTCTCCTTGCTCTTAGATTCTAAGTGATATCATTGACTTTCAACCACCCTGAACTAGTCAGAGCTGTGATAACTCTAAGGGGAGGAGTTAGGTAACCTCTTTGATGTCATGGCCCACTTTGGTAGTCTAGTAAAACCTACATACTTGTTCTTAAAATGATTTTTTTTAATGCACAAAAGAAAATGTATGGGATTATAAAGGAAACAACTATAGTGAGATATAGTGAGTGGTCAAGATATTTTAAAAAACAAGTTCACAGACCCACAGTTAAGAGTTCCTTGGCTTAGAGACAAAGTGGATTTTTTTTTTCAATTGAAACTTCAAGGAAAGTTTAATATAGGTAGCCTGGTGTTACCCAAATGGAAAATTCCCAAGAAACTAAACTCTTCTAGTGTCTTGGATTCAATGAGAGGTGTTAAGTATCAATAAAGTAGCTCTATGGTCTCTTAGAAACCTTGATAGTAGGTTGCTAAGAATCTACTATAAATGTATAAATTATATATATACTGTATAAAATACAGTGTATTTGTATGATAGAGGTAAATACATAGGAATGTGCCTTTTTAGACATGGCTAATGTTTTCTGCAGGATAATATGAAAGTTTTCATTTTCATCTGTACGTCAAAACATTTTTTGGTCTAGTGAAAGCTAACAATTCAAAGGCTCCTACAGATGGAAAGAACTTTAGAGGGTACATTTTATCCAACTTGACATGTTAAAGAACATCTAGTTTAATGTTTTCCAAGTCAAAACTGAGCCCCAGTGAGGTTGAATCAGGTGGCAGAGCTTGGGTTATTGTCCAAGCTCACAGTGTCAAAACTAGGACTAGAGTTTAATCTTCATGACTGAGTCCAGTGCTGGGCCCTGCTCCCCCACCAGCTCATAAAAAAAGTTGGGAAAAGAGCACTGGTTATTTTAAGGGAGAGAGTCATTTCAGTGGACCCTGAGGTCCAAATTCCAGGTTGAAAAAAACAAAATATATATTTATGTAATAACTTTCTTTTATGTGAAGTTGTCCTGTTCCACAGAAATGAATGCTTCATGGCGGGTTAGCCTTTAGAACTTGGCACATCCTAAGGACCTATCAGGTAGAAATATCCAATTAATATATATTAATTATGGACTGCAGGGTAACCAGGTTTGTAAACTTTTCTTGTATCATGGATATTTTTGTCAACCTGGTAAAGCCTACAAACTCCTTCTTTGAATAATTCTTAATTATATAGAAATACAATTATTAAACTTTTTAAAATCAAGTTCATAAACCCCAGATTAAGGACCCTTGTTTCTGGGGGGTTTTCAGCTGAAATACACGTCCTATTTAGGATCATGGAAGACCAACATGTCTAATACTCTATCCTGCCCTATAAATCTGTCTGACTCTTCAGTGAACATGTATTAGCTTTGTAGGCTTTTGAGCCAAGCCATCAGTTCCATTTAATATTTTGGCTTATGAGCTGAAGCATTGTGAAAACATTAGTGCTTCATCCCTCAAGTGGGTTGCCAGGCTGATTGGGTTTAACACCTACTGGGCAGCCTTCCAACAGTAAGCTGTTGGTTTCCATGTCTGTTGATTGAAGCCCCCAGTTTTCCCTGATATTGGATAACTGTGGATGGTGCCAATCCACAGTATTGATGGGAATACCCAAATGGGTGAGATGGCAGTTCCATGGACTTGTTGGAACATCTGTGGCAGCATATCTTTGTATTATGGTATGGTATAAATCCATAGAGATGTTTTGAGTGATAGCTCCTATGCTCATGGATTAAAAAAAAAAAGATAAAATGGGTTGATACAATGGGTACCACATCAGATGCATATAAAAGCTCTAGTTTCTCAATATGTTCTAGCGCCATGCTCAAAGCAGCAAACTGTGGTCCAAAGTTGGAAAGAGCTCCATCTATTGATTACATTATTAATGATCAAATACACTGTCATTTTCCCCTTTTAGAAAGTGAAATGTATGTTTTACATGGGGAGGGGAGAGAAAATCCCTGACTACTTTCTTTTTTGCTCCCCCCACCCCATATTTTCATTGGTGTGAGGAGTTCCCTGGTCTGGAAATTCTCTCCAACAATGCAGATCAATCCAACTGGTAATCTGAAACAGTTGTCTGGGACACTGGGAAGTTTAATGACTTTGCTATGATCACATTATTAATTAATATGCTGAAAGGCAGGTCTTGAACTCTGATCTTCTTGATCACTCTGTCTTCTAAGCCATGCTGTTTGATCTGATAAGCTATGTTTAATACTTTCATAATCTGAAAGGAAGTTTATTTTTCATTAAATTATCTTTTCCTACTTTAATTTCTACATGCTACTTCAATGGTCTCCAACCAGACAGATATCAGTCTCATTATTCTATATAGACTTCAGACTACTGTTACTATAGAATTCTTTTATTTCCCTTATATCATAGGAAAGTTGGATGCCTTTCTACATTTCTCCTCTGACCAAACATGAGCACATTTTTTAAAGTGGAGTTTATCATAAAAATTCACACTTAGTTCCCACAAGGATTTTCTTCCACTGCTGACAAACATTTCAAAACTTATCTCAGGAAGCCATTTTCTCTCTTTTTCTATTCCACAGACATTCTCCACCTTATCCCTATAGGTTTTTTAAGTCAAGGAGGAAATGTCAAGTAAAATATTTTGTTGTGTGTGTGTGTTTTTCAGCTTCTCTTTTAAAGGTATCCCCAAGTAATCCTTTCCTAGTGGGATATTTGTGTGACAGAAATCATAGGATTCTAGAATTGTAGTTTGAGAGCTAGAAGGATAATGAGATCATAAATTAGAGCTCATCTTACAGATATTGAAACTGAGGTAAAAGGACTTGTCAAAGGTCCCACAAGCAGTAAGAAGAAGAATTCAAACCTGGTGCTTCTGACTCCAAATCTGGCATTCTTTCCACCATACCAATGAATGGAATGATCACATAATGCTGTATTTGGCCCATGACGTATCTCTACTCTTACCATACCACAGTTTCCAGAAAATACTGATTCATTCTGCACTGGCTATCTAAAAGGAGCTACAAAAGCTATAATACAGAGCAGGACCTTACTTATGGTCAATGCAAGGACAAAAAAAGAGGTTTGTTTTTGCTTTTTGTTTTTCTGGAAACTCCCCCTTTGAACAGTCAAACATAGCAGTTTGAGCCAGGTGTTAACATTATAACCACATATACAATGCATCTGAATTCATTTGTCCAAACCGTATGCAGGCTTGCTGTCGTTGGCCATATGCCACAACCAAAATAACTATATCGATTTAGTGAAATGTAGTTAAAGCTGTCCTCTGATCAAATCGACAAGAATCACAGAATCTCAGAGTAAGAAGGAAATTCAGTGACCACCAATCTAAAAAGAATCACTACTTTGCACCTACCACATTGTTACTAAGACTTTGATTGAAGATGTCAGGGAAAAGGGAATTCACTTTCCTTTAACTGCCTGCCTCCTTAGGCCAGGTTCATAATGCAGCACTTAATGAATGTATCACCTTCAGCTTCATTTCTATGGGGGTCCTTTCTTCTCTCAAATAAGTCAATCGTTTTGCATAAAATGAAACATTACCAATAAGAGTTACTATACATTAATACATAAAATTAGAATTGTAGGTGAGAAATCAACCTTACGGCTTGATTTTAATGATAAAGAAACTGAAGGCCAGCAAGATGAAGTTATGAATATAGTCTTTCTTCCACAGTTGTTCAGATATTTCCTAGGTTCATTATATATTCAGGGCCATTTTAGGTAGTCATGTCACTTTCCATGGTGTAGTGGATCACATCGTAGTCCTATGAGTCAGGAAGACCTGAGTTCAAATCCAGCCTCAGATGCCCAGTGACCCTGGGCAAGTCGCTTAACCCTGTTTCCTCATCTGTA